AAATTAAATGTCAAATATCTCATGACTACTTAATTCTTAATAAATACATCTAATTTCTCAATTTTTCAAGTGATTATAATATTTAACAACTATCAGGTACTCTCCCTTTGTACTCTTTTTGATGAAATTTATGATTCTTAGTTTTCACTAATGAGAACAAAGAATCATAAATTTCATCAAGTCCTTTTGATTTAAATGACCAGCTAACCTATCAATTAACAATACTTGCCAGAATCCTTCTCTTTCTTATCCAGGATTACTTTTCATTAGTAAATGAAGACTATTTAAGGCTACTCTTTTAGAGTTTTAAAAATTCATTATTTTACTGTCTTCTAGAGCAGTCCTTTCCAACTGAACTTTCTGTGATGATGTACACATTCTACTAGAAACTTGAAATGTGGCTTGTATACCAGAGGACTCAAATTTTTATTACTTAGTCTAAATAAAATTTAAATATAAACAGATACGGCTAGTGGCTACTGGGTCAGACAGCACAGTTCTACACAATTTTTTTTTTTTTTTTTTTTGCATTAGTAGATGGGGTTTCACCATGTTGGTCAGGCTGGTCTCGAATACCTGACCTCAGGTGATCCACCCATCTCCGCTTCCCAAAGTGCTGGGATTACAGGTGTGAGCCACTGCACCAGGCCTACCTGGCTACTTTTTAAATTTTTTGTAGAGGTGAAGTCTCCCTGTGTTGCCCAGGCTGGTCTCAAATTCCTGGGCTCAAGAAATACTCCTACCCTGGCCTCCCAAAGCGCTGGGAATACAGGAATGAGCCATCATGCTCAGCCATAGTTATCCCTTACAATGCAACTCAGCTGCCACTTTCTTACTCTACCCTTTCCTTTGAGTTAAGTTTGTCACTCACATCAGGCCTACAACTTTCTTAAGGATAGGTGCTCTGTCTTGTTTTTTTTTTTCCTTTTTTTTCACTTCCCTCGTACAAAAGGTGTTCAGTCTTAAATATCTCCATCTTTAATATCTAATATAATGCCTTGAATGTAAGTGCTTAATACATGTTTGGATGAATTTATTGATGCTACAGGGGATAGATTTTGGGCAGCTTCAAAATAGACTTTTAAACAAAAATACCCAGATTTCATATCAAAATAATTGGGTGCTGGGGAGGTGCTTAAGGAAGTAGTAGGAATATAAATGGGCTAAGTGATACTAGTCCCTCTACTTTTGTATATATTTGAAATATTCCATAATACAGAGAAACTTACAATCTTTGTCTCTGACAGTTTTCATAAAGACTGATTAACTATGTAGGCATGAAGGATCTTATAGAACAGATTGAATATTAAATAGAGGGAAGAGGAGGGGAGGGGAGGGGAGGGGAAGGGTGAAGCAAAGCAGCCAGGCATGGTGGCTCATGACTTTAGTCCTAGCACTTTGGGAGGCTGAGGAGGGCAGATAGCTTGAGCTCCGGTGTTGGAGACCAGCCTGGACAACATGGTCAAATCCCATTTCTACAAAAAATACAAAACTAGCCAGGCATGAGAGCACACGCCTGTAGTCCCAGCTATTCAGGAAGCTGAGGTGAGAGGATCACCTGAGCCTGGGAGTTTCAGGCTGCAGTGAGCCATGATCATGCCACTACACCCCAGTCTAGGCAACAGAAATTTGGAAAACATAAGAGCAAAAGTCAGGATATGGAAAATAATGGCTGGACACATTTAGGAAAGTGGTGAAGATGAGAACTGAGACATACATAAGGGCTAACTCATGAAGTGTCTTATGTATTTTGCTAAGAAATTTGAACTGTCTTCTATAAGTAGTTCAAAATATGTGAGTCAATGAAGTACTTCAATATGGGAAATGATAAGATCACTTTGGAAAGAGCATATTGGGGGGTTCTTTGGAAGAAAAATTAAAGGGAAAAAAGGTAAACCCAAGATCAATAAAGTAGCTGCTGCAGTAGTTAACGTAATGGGATGCTGCAGTAGTTTATGTTATGCAATGGGAACTTTAAAATAAAGGCATTTGACAGTAAAGGGAGGTATAGATTTGGAAATTATGAAAGATGTCAGCCACATAAAGTCTATTTCCTCATATCATATACCTATGCTGGGCTCATACTGTTGGGCTTGTATTTTTGTGCTGGTATTGTATTTACATCTCAGTCACTTTCAAAGTACAGGAACTGTTATTTTAATGATCTTTTTATCCCTGAAATGTAGAGTACAGTGCTAGGCTCTCCATAAGTACTCAACCATTTGTTGAAAAAATGAATGCATACTGGTTAACTGATTAGCTCACTTCAAATACATCACAACCAAGATGGAATGTGAATCTTTATGATCTCAAAGAGCTAACCAGAGGTCTAGCCTTTGCATGGCTAGTCAGATGTCCTTTCTCTCTTCACTATGGACCTCCTGAAACTGGACACTTGGATTAAAAAAAAAAAAAATCTTCCCTGGCTGATGTGGTGGTTCACTCCTGTAATCCTAGCATTTTGGGAGGCCAGGGCAGGCAGATCACTTGAGACCAGCAATTCGAGACCAGCCTGGCCAACAAGGTAAAATCCCATCTCTACTTAAA